TAAGTATATGCACTGTAGCCTCATGGGAAACCTAACTATAAGAAGCAAAGGGATACGAATAGGTATGGGAAAGAGGCCTGCTCAAGTCCACTTGTCTTTTACTTGCATTGCAACAAGGCAAAGAGAAAGCATCAGCTCCCCTTCTTCCCCCAGACTCCAGCTCCTCTGTGCCACTCAGGGCTGCAGCAGCCCATACCCCCTCCTCCTTCCATCTACCCTTTTATAGTCAGACTACAATCCTTCTTCCAAAAATAAATCGAGGAGAAGCCAGAGAAAACAAGTTGAAAAGTTTTATACTTTCGTTATTCTATCCAAGACATTAGCTGGACAGATTTATCGTCCCATTTTCTTAAATTTCCCTACAAATAAATAATTCTAGGGTATGCCCAAATTACTCAGCCTCTTGACCCAACATGTTTTTGCAATTACTTGGCACAACTGTATGCTACTTAAACTAGGTAACAGTCACCAAGTTATTTTTAGGCCCTAGCAACACCACACACACACACACACACACACACACACACACACACACACACACACGCACGCACAGAGGGGCATACAGCTCTACCTAAGTTGTACTTCCTGGAGGGAAGAATACAAGCTACCTTCTGACTGGTACATTTCAATCCACAGAAAAAATTGCTCAGCACATACCCTGAGCCCTGCTGAACACTTTGCAAGCCATCCTTTACTGAATTCCGAAGTGAACATGCCCTCCACTTACAAATGAGGAAGCCAGAGAACAAAAGGCTTAAGCGACTTGACCAAGGACACTTAATGGAGGAACCCAGAGGCCTCAAAGGCTTGCTGATTTGCTGTTCTTCCTACACTTCTCTACTTTTTCTTTCAGAACCAGTACTTGGCCTTTAGCCTTGAGTAGTGAGAAGGAATTCTGGATAACAAGAATAAAATAGGTCTGTGATGCAGTTAAATCTTAAAAGAGCATACAAAGAAAGGGGCCTACATTACTCCCCCAAAAGAAAGCAGAGTAAGAATATTTTCACAGAGTCTCTAATTTCTTAGCAAAGCCACCCACAGTGTCATGCAACTCTGCACCACTGCTTACTGATGAGTAGTTCAGGGTCTGTTTTGACTAAGAAAAAATGTTAGTCAACTTTGCTCTTTGTTCAGGAGTTAAGAGGAAGCTTTAAGTTTGGGAGCTTTTGGGGGAGGGGGTATGTAAAACAGGAACTTACGTATTTTTACATATATGGCAACTTTACATTGAAGATATTTCAACTGTGTTTGTATATTTTAATAGAAACTATTTCTAATATGAAAATGCATAGTGGAGAGTAGAAGGAAGTTTGTAGTGTAAATTTAACGCCCTGTGTTTGACTCCTCCTCTCTGCATCAAGCTTTTAAGCTATTTCTCTGTCAGTCTTCTTTAGTCCTTGCTTCCCCCATCCCCCACCCCTACCCTGCCCCACAACCCCTTCGAAAAGCCTCTGGTATAGAGCAGAGCTGTAAAGATCCACAGCACACGGGCTACCATTGCTGTTAAGAGCTCGCAGCATGTGCAGGCCTGGACTCTGACACACCACTGTACATGCAGAGACAGAGGCCCTGAGGGGGTCTCCTAGAGGGAGGAGGGAGGCTTCTCCTCAGACCCAAAAGCCAGTCACCAACAGTGGCATTCAAAGAACAGTCATGGGAAGGTATATGACACTAAGTATTTAGCTGGAAAAAAAAAATCACTGTAGAATACTCCTAGCTCGGTTAAATATATCACACTAACTCTAAACATTAGACTAGAGTCTATGACATAGAATATTTCAAACACAAGGAAGAAAAGAAAAATAGGAAAAATAAATGTTTAATCTGGTTGGTAGGTATAAAGGTGTTTGTTATATACTCTAATACTTTTCTAAGTGTTTGAAAATTTTTTGATCATAAAGGTTTTAAGGCCACGGATACTCTGAGGGAGAGGGTGCAAGGAGCCATGCTCTTCCCACATACATGAAGGACAAATAATTTCCCTGAAGGCAACATTGTTAAAAAGGAAGGTAGCCTTACGAACATGACAGCAAAAACAGTGTCTCTCATTTTCAAAGGTCAAGGATTATCAAGCCTTCTGTCTTAGACTAGACACCAAGTTTCAGTTGATTAAAACAATCACCATTGGGTGGAAACGGTGGCAGTTCTTTCAAAGATTAAATTTCTAAACATTTATTCAGTTGGATGGCTCTGATGTGGTTGACCAGAGGCAAGGGTCCGATGCCATATATCCTTCAGTGGGTAAAAATGAGACAGACTGCACAGACTCGGGCCTAGGTCACTGCAGGGCGGGGACTGTAAATTAGAACAGTAACTTAATCCTAGGGGCTTCTGTGCCTCTGATCAGTTTCGTCCCAACCTGACACTGCTTGACTAAAATGGCAACCCAGCCGCCACTGGGCTCGACAGGCAGCTCCAAAAATGGAGAACATGGCATTGAAACTGTGGGACATAAAAGTTGGACTGGGAGGGTAGCAACCAGTGTTTACAAACACGAACCAGAGTCTTAAATGGATCAGGCATCTTTAAAAAAAAAATTCTCTGAAAATAAAACAAGGCTTGGGGACTCCCAACCATATAGTCTGAACCATCTACCCCTCCCCCATCAGCCACATGCGCCCTACAAAATTCACTCATTCCAAAATGGTACCATTCCCGAACTAGCTGAAATACAATCTTAGATCACCAACAAGGGAAGTCCTAAAATAAACTTCAGAAGAGAAGCCAGAGCAGAACGGCCTGCTTGATCCAATCAAGAACCCAGAAGAAGCTGCACACCATGCTCGTTGAGAGACGCACTCCTCATCCTTCATCTCAAGGACACTCTGAAATTAACCTCTGGTTTGACCAGATAAGGGAATAACAGGGAACTCAATGTCCCATTTCTTTTTCCTCCTCCCTAACTTGGTCCTGATTTTAGGCCATTCCTCCCAAAGGTACCAAATTAACAATGATAATAAAGTAGATGACAAAACCTTTTACTCCTGAACTATAGATTTTCAACCAAATTCCAAGATATTTGAAGGAAAATCCCCCCCAAAAAACTACAAAGAACCCAACCTCTACCACCAGAGCGTCTTCCAAGCTGGCCGCCACGGTGTCGCACCAATCCGAAATGAAGAGCCCTCAGCGCAGCTGCCCAAGGGCGCCTGGTGGTGAGGTCAGCAGCGTGTCCAGCCCCGCCCCACTGAGACAGTCTCTACTCTGACACCGAGGAAGCCCAGGCTGCGGGGATCCTCAAATGTATCTATGGGAAAGGGATAGCGGAACCCCTTTTTCCTCAGCAGTCCTAAGGAGAGACAGTGCTCAGTAACAGATGGGCCATCCCTTTATCCACCAACCTGCATGGCAGGAAAGATCCACCACGTACCCTAAGCAGCCCTGTGTTCGAGTTCAGTATGAGTTCAGAGGTCATAAAGTGAGCTGTTGGCTACCTCTTGTTAGATTGCCTAGACAAAAAGGGCTGATTTTTTTTTTTTTTTAACCAAGCCTATCTTCTTTTTTTACAGGAGAAAAAACAGAAGCCAGCAAAGCTATCTGTTATAGGTAGGGAATTTGTAGATGGAGTTTTCTCATCTGAAAAAAAAAGCACAAGATGGATCATACCGAGGGAAGTGCAGCAGGGTAACGCCGCATGGGGATTCTAAAAGTCAACCAAACAAGAATTCAGAAGTGAGGAACCAGCTAGGCAACAGAAGCCTGACATACTTGTGACTCTAAGAAAACTTACTGCCACCATCACAACAGTGCCCAGAGTATCTAGAGCTGTGTATAGCTGTGAGCCCACATGCCCCAAGGAGAGCTGTGTCTTTGTGACAGCTGTCCACAGAGACAGCAAAGGCCTACAGTGGGAAGGGGTGTTACACAGCAAAGGGTGACTAAACCATGTTTCTAAGAGCACTGCAGACGACATCACTTGGGAGATAAGGAGGATGGGTAGAGCCATCCCACACAGACAAATCCTAGCTTGCTCCCCCAAGCAGCCTGTCCTAACAAATACAAAAAGTGTTCAAAGGGACCCAGCAATACTGATCAGCACCACTTTAGGACAGTGGCTGGAGTTGTGACACCCACACACCCATATCCCTACACAATGCTCAAAAAACAAAACAAAGTTGTTGATCACTCTCTGTCATGACCAGGGAAACATTATCAGAAGAGTAATGATGCGAAGAGCCCAAAAGGACAGTGCTGGAGGAGGACAAAGAGGAGCAAGCGGACTGCACACAGGGTCAGGGCAACACTGTGTGGAAGAATCCCAGAAGAGTGGCCCACCCGTGCCTTTTCGGGGCTTCCAATCATCATAGTTATTCTACACTAGAGGAAAGTGATGCATGACTCCTTCCTGGGAAGAACCAGAGGCCAACTGTTGTCAGATGATGCTAGAAAGAACAATAGGTAGTAGGGCAGTTTATAACTATCCCCTTGGAGCTTCAGAAGAGAATTCACACTTTAAGGTTTTAAAATCAAGAGTTGTGCCTTTGTTGAGGATGACTATATAAGCGATGCGAAAATCAAGACAATCAGGCAGGTGAGAAACAGGAAGAGTTTCTCACACACAAAGAACTGGCACCTTCAGATGTATCTGCTATGCACCACAGATACTGCCTCCGCCGCTCCATCAACATTAGTTAGGTCTTGAGAGACAAAAACTTTCCAACTACTCACAGACTGAAATAGAGCTACAGAGAAGGCGTGACTTGAGATGCCATCTTGGTTGTACAAACAGCCCTTCAAAAACCATCTCTAGTGAAATGTCTTAGGGGACACATAATAGAAGCCAGATCAACGCTGAGACTCAGACCTGGGTATCAACTCACTGCTACTTGGATTTTCTTTCTATACCAAAATAATAAGGGTGGAAGAAAAGACAAGAGGAAAGGCTATTTTGGTTTGTGTGTCTGGAGGAAAGAGAAGGCTGCCCCATCTACAAGAACCTCTGGAGGGAACCTACACGGCCAGGATGGTATTTGAGGAAGGGGGAGGGGTGGGGTCATTACCTTTCAACACCAGGGGATCTTTGCCTTCTCTCTTCAGGGACTCGAGGACTATGTGGAGTGGCTGGGTAGGCATCACTCGGCTCGGCTCATTGGTATTCTCATCATAAACTATAATTTCTTTGGAAAAGATCCTCTTGAAAGAGTCTTTGCCTTCCCTACAGGAAATCAAGTCTAAGACAGTGATCTTGCCCTGCTGCAGCCTCCGCCGGCTGATCTTATCGGCACAGTTAATGTGTACAGCTCCTTGGATGTGACTCCTGTTGTACTCCATGAAAGGCCTGCAGTCAATGATGACAGGGCCTTGGCTGGACAGGTGACTCTTGCTGCATTTGGTCATCTTCTTCGCCAAGTCATTGGGGTAGATGATTTTGATGCTGGCTAGCTGCTTGGGAGTCCCTGACACAGGGCTGCCCACCCCACCCGATGGACTTAAAGAGCCTGTGTTCTCATTATTGTTGACCATCTGGTTAGCAGGGCAGGTGGTCGAGGTTCCTATGGCGGTGGTGGCAGTGCCCGTGGCAATGGCTTGAGTCTGGGCCTGGTGATCCTTGTCGTAGGTTGCCACAGTGCAGCAGCTAGTACTGCTGCATCCACAATTCAGGGAGCGGGCAGAGCCGCTGGATGAGGGCATATACGTCAGATTCGCAGCCTTGAGGGTCACAACGGCGGTGGCAATGACAGGAGGGTCGCTATTGCTGCCTGGGGTGGCAGAGCCAAGGTAGCTAGAGTCTAAACAAAGGTTGAGATCCTGAGGTCGGACAGGCCTAGACAGTGCCACTACTACCCTGTCGTCTAAAGGAGATGGAGGCATGAGGAGGCTGAAAACTGGGAATTCAAGAAGAACTCAAGAGTCTGTAAAGAAGGGGAAGAAGGAAAGAAAGAATAAAGTCACATGACACAAAAGGCCTTCTCATCCAGTCCCTGGGAAAGACCTCTACATATCTCTGAGTAAAGTCAAAGTTCTCCCAGGTGCCCTTGGTCTCGATACCATCAAAGGCTGAAAATTCACTTTGATGTATTCAGAGAGAATGCATCCCCAAGGGATCCTGTCCATTCTGATGCTAAGTTGAAGGTTAAAACTGGACATGATGTTAGAAATGGTAATGGCCATTCTTTCGTGGAGCTGCATCAAAGTTCAGCCTCAGTGAAGGTAAAGGCACGGAGAACTGAAAACCATGAAGGTTTTCTTACATTTATGCTTAGCCTCCTCTCTTGAGCAGAAGTCTATTTCATCTCTGATGGATGCCATTTGTCTGCCCAGGCATTCGCTTTCATTTCTTTACCCAGAGCCAAGGCAAAGAGATAAGTAAGAGCATTGTCAGAGCTCACAGAGATGCACAGAAATGCATGGCAGCTAAATTTACATGAGGGGCGGACATCAACCTTCTGCACCTCAGAAGGAACGTCTCTTCCCAAGTCAGTCTCCTGGCTAAAAGCTACTCTTGCTTTCCATTCTGTTGGGTCTTTTGAAAAGCTCAGCATAGTCCTAATTCAAAGCTCACATGTCTTCTGTTAGCCTCTTCCAAGTCAAGCCCTATGTGCCCCTTTCACTATGAGGAACTGTCCTAAAACCACATCTCCAAAAGGAGTCAGGTCTGGGAACCCCAACCCAAGCTGACCCATGACCCAGTCCTCTGTGGCTCCACTTAGCCTTTCCCCTCCCTGTACTGTGCCTCTAAGCAAAGAAGGGCTAGGATTTCATCCTGTAATACAGACTTTGCATCTTTATTGGAGTGGCAACTCTGGAAACGATTTTTCAGTCCTGCACTGATATTCCTCTTGGAAACAGTGCGGATTCCACAGACAGGCTAACTGGGAAGTAGTGCCCACGGAGTTACCTCTGCCTCCTCCAAGGGTGCCTTCAACGGGTCACTTACCTCCTCCCCCCAGGCACGGGGCCACTCAACGACACAGCCATCCTGACTCCTCTACCAAACCTGTACACAGCAAAGAAATCAAACCCCAAGCAAAAGCCACTCACCTAAAGGAACTTTAAAAGCTGTCTGGGCAAACATCATGGATCCACTCATGACCCACCGTCACTTTTCTCTGACACCGAGCCAAAGTGTCACCGGTGAGATCCACACACGCACACACAAGAGCACGTTCCCACCCGTGCTCGTTATATCCCCACTGACTCGGGTTTCTCTCACCCACCTTCGGATGGGAGCAAAGGATCCAACCTCCTGCTGCGTCCTTCCCTCCCTCTCTGCCTCCCTCCCTCCCTGCTTCCCTTGCGTAGTATTTTTTTTTTTTTTTTCAGAGCGAGTACTATTCCAGAAGCTGTAACTGTGCTCCAGCAGGACCACAAATGCAGTCAGTCTTTGCTTTTATGTTACCTGGTAGGGGACGTCCAGGATCAGTATAGGAGCGGGACCCTCAAATGTGTTCTCAGAGACAGGCTGGGACCAGTACCTCCACACTGCGTGTGCGCCTCGCACACGGGCGCCTCGCACACGGCACGGAGTGCTCTGAGATCTGCATCTTTGCAGCAGATAGCTCCAAAGCCATCCAGCCTAGCCCGGGGAAACCTCCCACAAAAATAACACTATCCCCCTACCTCCTTCCTCACTAACCTCCCTTCCACCGCTGAGCAGGAGCTGGAGGAAAAAACCCAAGTGGTTGGAGAATGCTTCCTCCCCGCTCCTGGGGCACGTAGCATCCCTCTTCCACACCACCACTGAGCATCAGCAAAGCCTCGGGCTTTGAAAACTGCCACAAAGCATCTTAACGAAACCAAAACTCATTTTCTCTCTTCATTCCAGAGCAACAAGACGCCAGACCCTAAACCTTAGGACCTTCCTTACCTGATGTGGGTCTCTGTCTCGGTGTCTCTGTGTCTGGGTCTGTTTCTCTGTCTCTGTCTCTCTGTCTCTCCCTCTCTCTTCCTCTCTCTCCCTGGGTCTGTTTCTCTCTGTCTCTGTCTCTGTCTCTCTTACTCAAACACACACACACACACACACACACACACACACACACACACACACACA